AAAAGCTTTTACAGAGCTACGACTAAATACAATAAGCTCTGCTTATAGAGATGGGAGACATAGAGGCATACCAAAAAACGAACGTGTTTGCATTAGGGGATGTTCTGAAGTAGAGGACCTTATGCATTATATCTTGCACTGTCCGTTATATAATGATGCAAGAAAAAGATTTTTGGTACCTATAATGACAGGGTCCCCTGGCCAGAACCCCCTCGATATGATGTTATATCTCCTTGCAGACACAGATAAGTATGTGACCTGGCGGGTAGCACTTTTTGCAACTGCTGCTAGGAAAATTAGAGCAAATTATATAGCCAAGGTAGCCATTAACTGTAAAGGAGATGAATTTATTTGATCCTATCTATCTACCTCAGGCTATGCTCTATCTTTGTCACCAAACTCCGAGTATAAATTGCACACTGTATTAATTGATATTGTTTTTAACATTAGTGACCATGTGATGATTTTAGCTTATGAATTTTATTGTTTAATGTTTTTATTTGTACATTGGGGTACTTTTATAGCTTTGTTTAGAGTATGTAATGTTTTAATAATATAAATGTTTTAAGCCTTTTTTTACCAATTCAGTATATTTACTTTTAACTGTCAAATAATTCTGTGTACATTGCGGCAGCCTTTGGCTATGTGCAATAAAACTGACTGAGCAGTACTGAAAGCACACAAATTAAGTTTGCACACCTGAGCAGTCCCAGTGCAGCAAAGGTGCAAAGATTTCTTGCAGGATTATCGCCTCAGGCTGTAATATCATCGAAGACAAAACATGCTATCTGACAGTAAACTGACTAAAATTGAGTTTGCAATCCTTTAGAGTTCACAATCCTCTGATTAAATATTTTTTCAGGGTGCAAATATTCTTCAAGTTACTTATAGAATAGTTTCATCGTAAATTTTTACTTTTTTCCTTCTCACCCACACTCTGCATGCCATGACCTAAAATAGAAAGTAAATGTATGCTTCCTACAGTGGACAATTATGAAAAGGAGCTATAAAACTATATTGACATATTTGTTTTCTTTGCATTCAAGCTGTGAAGAATATTGACTGTGTCTCTTTGCCCCTAATAGTCTATGGCATTATGAATAGATCTTACCAATTATATCGAAATACCGAGCACAGCAACTATAAAAGCATAATGTACCAACCCTTATAAGGAGGTATATGATGATAAATCTTTACCACTTCTGTCAGGAGAGGATTTGGTTGTTAAGCATGTCCTCCTCAACCCGGCCCAAGATAGATCTAATGCAAAAGTACAGAACGTTGCAATCAAAGTAACTAACACAATGCATTAAATAAATGTACAGCTAAGTGCCCAGCACTTATCTTTGCTAGTAATTTAAAACTGTTGCCCAAGTTGTGATTGCCGCACCTGGCCTAACCCTATCAAAATTTGGAGCCGGAAAAAAATCTGGAGCATAACAAATTAAGAGCCTCTTCCTACAGAAAATATAGTGTCCTGTACAATCAGGATCCAATAATACAGAGCATACATGTAACTGTTTTTAAAAGGAGCTGGAATCTTACAGTGCACTGTTTGGTGGGAAGAGGGAATCAGAGGAGATTCAATCCAGCCCTCTTCTGAACAGCTGATAGCAAGATTAGAGTTTTCTTTCATTTTTAAAGGGTTCTGTGGAAGTAGCTAGAGATGCTTGATAAATTCGATTTCTGAGAATTCTGATGTGAACTGAGCTGATATGCACCTCCCAGTCTTCAGAAGTGACATTTCTTTGAACTTTGTGATACAGTTCCTTGAAAAGTAAATAAATCGTGATGCAGTTCTCAGCTCACAAAAACATACCAACATGCACTAAAAATGTGTATTATGAGATAAAATATGTTTAGAAATGCGTACAATAAGAAAAAACACACATATTAAATGCACATTTTGTAATAAAATATGCCTTCAAGGTGTCTTCTAAAGGTTTCATAGTTACTTATCTCCCTGACATCTGGTTGGAGGGTGTTCCACAGGAACGGCGCCACTATCAAGAAGGCCCTCTGCCTGGTTCCCTGTACCTTCACTTCTCACAGTGAGGGAACTGCCAGAAGGCCCCTTGGGGTTTAAGATCTGAAGCTTAAACTAGCAGGCCTGCCATTATTACACATAGCATTGCCTGTAGTATTGCTATCTATCAGAAATGTAAGCCGACACATTTTTTTCTCTGAGGCCCCAAAAAACTTGCTTAAATATTTTATCAGAGAACCCTTTCAACTAAGTAAACTTAAGAAATCTTATCAATGAAAATATGCCTAAAATATGTACAGATTTCATATAATCATAGTATTGTAGAGTTGGCACATCTAGTCCAACAGCCTGCAATCCAGGAATCTTTTGCTCAGTGTGACCCTGAGATTAAGAGTCTCATGCTCTACCCACCAAGCCATCAGAATGCACAGACCTCCAACTTTAAAACTTCAAATGTGGCCATTTGTAACCAAATCAAACCTTGTTCTGTTATCTTTCTTTCATTTGCTACATTAATCTTGTTGTAGGGACTCATTTTTCCACACTAAATCCTGTTGGGTCCATTCCTGGTACCAGATCTTGGCTAAGAAGGAAAGTACCAAGAGCAACTGTCTGTGGGAAGATTTAGCAGTCCCTCCCAGGCTCTAAAAATGGAACCATAAATTTATATGTGCTTTGGAAAGACCCTGCAGCAATCAAGTGCAGTTTGGTTCTAAATAATTTTCATATAAAATGCTTTCAGTGTTGATAAGTGCAATTTATTGTGCTCTGCACAGTTCAGTCAGAAATATGATTTTGTTATACAACAACAGACATAGACTGGCTTTAGTAAGATTGTAGGTAAGAGAACAGGCGAAGAGACTTGCTGGATCTGACCAAAGGCCTAAGTAATCCAGCATCCTGTTTTCCACATTGGCCAACTAGATGCCTACAGGAAGCCCAATAAGCATATTAGCCCTCTCCCTCCGCAATAGGCAGTTCTAAGGCAAGCTGCCTCTGCTCTTGGTGGCAACTTATGTGGAGTCGTCTTGAGTCACACCCAATGGTTAAATCTTGGTAGCATTGGCAAATTTAATATTTGTAACTACATCATGTCTGTCCTTCCTAAGGCTAGTTGCTGTTCTTTACAGCATAATTTTTACAACTGATTTTCCCTTAGAAACCAACAAACAACCTGTCATTTTGAGTAACGAAAATAGGACATTAACAGGGAAGTTTGTGTATGTGCTCTGACAGAAGAAGCATTCAATAAAACCTTTTTGTGGCGGTCTCTCTCTCTCTCTACGAGGTTTGGCATGTTTGTTTGTTTGTTTGTTTGTTTGTTTTTCCGTCAATATTTTCTTTCTGTAACCAATACATATTGTTAAGTATGAGTTCTGTAAGTATGAGTTCTACAAATACTTGCCATTCAATAGCCTGTCCTTCATTTTTGAGACACTGAACAAATCTGGGGAGGGGGGCTGAAATGGGCAAGCCTTTAGTGGCAGTTAAATTGGTTACCTTAACCTGGAAGAAACAGAGCGTTCAAACTAGGAATTTTGTCACATTGATTCTGACTTTTTTGAGCTCCCAGTACAAACTGGCAATGGCAAAATGGTTGGGTCAACATGCCCTTTACCAGTGCTGGGTCACTGGCAAATCCCAATCCTGCTGCCTTCTGCTAAAAGGCAATAAAATCTTAGCCATTTGTCATGACTCAGGTGCATATCTATGCTCAATACCCAATATTTATTCTCTCAGGAAATCACACACTTTTTAAGATGTCAGAAGCCAGTTCAGTTGGTAGGCTGCCTATCTTCGGTGAAATGTTGAAATGTCCATAGTGACCCATCTTCTGCTCCAAAGAACAGGTCACACTACAAAACTAATCACATGACAGACTTAACTTGGAGCAAAGGCATTATTTGTAGATCAAAGAATGCAACAACTTAAATCAACTGTGTTTATGAAGCCAGCACAGCATATAAGACACACATACTAAAGTAAAACCACAGAATGTCATAGGTTGTTTTTTTCATAAATGCATTTATGAAGAAACCCCTCCAAAATCCACAGGATAAAACACATGTTGAAAGCACGACTTCCCTTTAAAACCACTACTGAATGCAGCTAATCTATATTCTATCTGAAAGCACATATTTTATTGCCGCATTATAGTAACCAAATGCCTCTGAAACACATGAAAAATACTAGTTTCATACTATCATGCTACACTATTAAGAAATATGTGTTTCTCGGTTATAAAAGCTGGATTCAAAAAGATTATCCTTCTGAAATATAGCCAAATAATATTTAATTCGGAAGTCCATTAAGAAGGATATCGAATGCACACCAGTTACCTTGTCAGCTGGAATATTTCCCATTTTTATACATCCCATCCAATTCTATCTTAACCTAGAAGCACTTTAAAGCATCTTCAGCACATATATAACAGAACAAAAAACATATGAGTCTCAATACGGGCAGACTGTACATATTGCTTTCTCTGTTTTAAAAGGAACAGCTTTATCTCCCCCCGGCAAACAGTACAAAGGGCCAGTCTAATATTATTTTATCTCTGGTCCAGGAGACTTCACTGTAGCTCATGTATATAGCAACTTGCCATGTGGATCCTCAGGATCACGCTGGATCATTCTGGAGGACTCCATCATTGGAGAGCTGATAGCAATGTTTCCCAGTCATGCAACAGGCAGAAGTATAGTGTCCATATGAAGTACCGCTCAATTTTGCCTTTAGAAGAACAATTCTCGCACATCTGGCTGGCTTATAAAACAGCAGCTGCCGTGAGAAACACTCAAGCTCTAAGGAAGCGCATTATAGAGAGAAATGCAAAGTGCAAGTCACAACTACAGCTATGTTTTTAGTCTAACCCAATTATAGAAGTAGTAACAGGAGTTGGGTGGGAAACACCTTGCTACTTTCATTCAAATCTTTTGCAGAATAGCATAAGAAGTAGAAGAGACTTCAAAGCAAATGTTATAACTGCCCATAGACACAGGGGCAAGGTACTTACAGCTGAAGATACTTGGAGGAGGATGCTCTGTTACAAGCAGACAGTTCTCTTCATCACTGTTATCCCCACAATCATTTTGTTGGTTACAGACCAGCGAGCCAAGATACAAGCATTTGCCACTGGTGCAGGTGAATTTGCACTCTGAAAAGTACAGCAGAAGAAAAAGGAAGATGAGAGTACTTTTTCATTTGTTCTTTCATTGTCTATCAAGGTTAAAAACTATTTAAATTAATTCAGCTCTACATGTGGGAGATGATTTAAGGATTCTTCTTCTTCCTATTTGACCTTTGGAGTCCTATATTGCAGTACTGTTTAATAACCATCTTAATTACTGATTATTTAAATTGCACAAGAAATTACAAAATGGCACTATGCAGCATAAACAAGTTAGGCACTTATGTTTTGAAATTATACAGAATTATAGCCCAGGTACCAATTCACAATTCACACAGTGAGGTTTTCCATATTATAATTTACAACTGTCGCCCACGACTGTTAGATTGTGTGCAACCCATCAGAACTGCAGAGTCTTCTCTTTTGTTAAGTCCCATCTTGCTTTTCATGAGTTAGTAGATGCAGAAGTGATCATTACAGCTTATCACATACATCACACACGGGAATTGGCCTTAAGTCTCTGTGTTTCATTTTAACAGCCCAATTCAGTGGAAGTTAGTTGTGTTTAAGAACTACTGAAATCAATAGGACAGATTAGATGCTACTAATTTTTGTGCATCTCTGAATCAGAGCCATTCTCTCGAATTCTTTTAAAAACCAAGGCTTCAGGCTTGCATGGTTCCTAAGGTAAGTATTTAAAATAAACCTGCAGAAAGCAGCTATCAAAAGAAGAGTTTGAAAGGAGGTTACTTATATATGTGCATATATCAATTTAACAGATTTATAAAGGGTCCCTCATCACGTTGTTATTCCATGGCAGTTGTCAATAAAATAACAAAGACAAGATACAATAAATGCATCAAAGCAGTACAAACAGAATTAATATAATACCAAACAGCCAAAAAGAGCAGATTAATCATAGACTAAGCACCTGTTCCATTTTTTTCCAGTCCAGAATCTGACACATATGTGGAACTCCAAGTGCTTTGTACAGTAGATGAAGCTTGGTAAACACAAGGAGCTATTTTCCTTTCCATACCCAGAAACAAGGACACGGATCGCTAAATCCAGGATCGTGATGACTAAATCTGCATTTCATGATTATTATTTTTTTAAAAATGTTTTGAAGCTTTTCACATTTGAAAGTGTCAGTTGCAGAGCAGGAACAGTACAGCCCCCCCTACAAACTATATTTAATATATTGATTACTTGCTACTAAAATATGCAGAAAACAGTTGAAATTGCTTTGTTTAATTTCAAGTGTGCACTGAGTGTACATTCAAAAATTAAGTTCTTTGCAAAGCTGGTTGCTTTTAAACCACATTCAGCATCTAGGACAGTGGGAAGTGTGGTTTTAGAAATTATATATAATGTATACTTTATTTGAATCCATCCTAGGCAAGAGCTGTCTGCTTGTGTGTCTGGTTGGAATGCTGCCAGCTTTGGACAAGACATAATAATCATTAGTTCCTGTCCCTGCATTAAAACAAGGCTTTAAAGCTGCAAAATGTCTCAGCTTTGATACTGTAATATGCACGAATCCATCCAGGCCCATAAAATTATATCTCTGCCCACCTTTCTCAACTGCCAGATGGAGATTAACAAACTGGAGGACTGCCACAGTCGAACAGTCACTGTTTCACCCTATGTGCTCAATTCCCAAATGTCAGTATTGCCAAGCTGCTGAATACATTTCGAGATCTTCCTTAGCTTGACAAAAAAAAGCTTAGCCCAATTGGTTCTAGATTTTCAGTTTCCTATCATTATTTCAGATTAAAGGAATGTTTTCTTAAATAAAGGCTGATGAGGAAAAGAGCCTGCTTTTCATTTGCAAGGGTCCAAAAGCCTTAATTAAATGTACCGAAGAGTAATAATATGCACTACTTCAAGGCCTGCAATCCTACAGAGTGCTATAAGGGATACATGGAAGGATTTCAGCATGGGAAAATCATAGACAGCCCTGCAATCCAAATCTTATTAGCTTTCAACCACTTTAGGTCAGTTGTTACTGCCACTAGGAATGCCAACCTGAATAAAATATTGGAGGGGTATAATTGATTACATGATGTGGCACATGCACACCATCTGAATGGCAGTGCCCATCAACTTTGGGGGCAGGGGTCCCTAGCAGTTGGTTCTTATGACTACCACCATGTTTCAAATGCACAACTGAAGCTGGGAGATGGCCTCCCATCCCAGTGCCATACTAAGACAGTTCACTGCTTGAACCCAATCACGCATGGTGAGACTGCAACAGCTCTCTGCTGAAAACTTAACAAGTTCTGCTTGTACCATTCAGACTATTCATGCCTCCACCATTCTCTCTTTCATGAAGCCACTTATAATAAGTCTACTTTTTAGCTAAACTCACTTGTATCCAAGGCCAGGAAGGAAGGAAGATAGACAGACAATGCCACTGAAATCCATATACTCAGAAGAGCGGTGAACAGACTACAGGCTTATGAGAGCTAATTATGTTTTTTACCAAAACCCAGAGTTCTGCCAACTGAAGGCAGGTACGAAACACAAACACTTAGGATTAAAGAATGCCAAGCCCAGAAATGTATTAGGAACATCAGAACTGAACTCACAGTTCTGCTACTCAAAAATCCACTCCTAGTTATATTCCCCACCCCTACCCCTGCCAGCTTTCTTCACACCAGTAATGCAATTAAGGATGGTGGGGAGCAGAGAGTCATTTTGATCGTTATTGTTAAACAATTGAGAGTACAAAATTATTTCCAATCTATTGCAAATCGCTCATAGATCTTTTAGTAGTTCCCAATCTATATTCTGCCTGCCCCTGATACTGACACCTTAGTCTCTTTTGAACTAGAATATATATGCAGCATGGCTCAGGAAATGTAAATAATAATAAAAAACTGTTGATCTAAATGACATTTTGAGCCTATTCCAAAGTATTTTCCATGCACCAGTCGTTTCAGATACTCTTAATAAATGCAGAACATCTGACTTCCACATATATACACTATAGTATGAAAACACTATCTTAAATGTCTCTCAGCTCTTTGAAATTACTTATTTGCCTTTTCAGAAATCTTTGGAGACACTTCCCCCTTGTTTTAAACCTTTGTAAACAGATACACATTCAAACAATTCTCTTAAAATCATTTACAGATCTATTCAAAAATAATCCCCATCAAATTCAATGGTGCTTACTGCCAGGTAAGTAGTACGGGAGTGCAGCCTTCCTTTCCCATTCACAGTAGTGTTTCAGTACTAATGACTGAAATTTCCCTCTCCCCCCCCCTCCAATAACAGGAGGGAGGATTTGTTTAAAGAAATCAAGCCTAGTTAGGGTGCAGTGATTTAAATCAAGGCAATTTAAATCATCAAGAAAAAGGGGAAATTTAAGTCAATTTTCCAACTGCATAATTCTGTACAAGTAGACATACAAATTTGTTGCTATAACAAATTAAAGCATATCTGTTTGCAACTAAACAGAGCTATTATGCTACCAAGCATGCAACATACTTTTTTTGTACTATAGAAATTAAATATGCCTAGGAGAAAAACTGAGAACATGAGGTTTCCAGTTTATCCCTCTTCATGAGCAACGCTATTCACTTGGCCTATGAGCCCAACTACATGTGATGAACAGGCCATGGCTATTATTCACTGGATTTCTTACCCGCCCTTCATCATATTTTCCAAGAATTACTCTAAGAACACAACCTTCTCGGGCTGGTAAGACGGTGGCAAGATGAGCTCCTCATACATTGTGGCTTCTGGGCAAGTTGGGTCATCCAAGGCCATCCAAGCCTACGACCAGAACTTGGAATCTGACTCTGGGCCATACCAGGTAGATACTCCATCACAATGGTGACAATTTCCTGGGGCCCATCATATAACTGGAAGCCTCTGCAATCAAACAGATTTCCTTTGGGTTCTGCTGATCCAGATAAATTCAGAAGCAATTGCCTCACTATCCAGGGAGCAGGCTAGGATAGCAAGGATCATTCTGTGACTAACAAAAATTGAAGAGGCTGTTAGGAATCACGTCAGTTGTCTCAAACATACACTGGTAAGGAAATCAGAACCAACCCAGGGTGCATAATTGTGCCTAATGACATACCAAAGAGATCTCAATAAATTGAGTTGTAACACATCTTGTCTAGACAGGGGGGTGGTGTGATCTAAGTTTTAAAGATAATCCAGCATGACTGTGTTTTATAAATAACTTTTCAAAGCTATTCCACTTCTACTTTCAAGTGGCAATCAGCAATCCTGGCTGGTCAGTTACAGAGCAGCCCCTAACCCCTATAGGTAGGAAGTATTAGCAGCTATGGATTAAAAGATTAGTTGGATTAAAAAAAAATCATTAGGCTTGCATCCCTACAAAGTCCAAAAACAACAAAACAATTTCATCAGATATTAAACTGATTATTACTGCTGGTGTGAATGGGCACTGTGCTTAGTTTGCACACATTTGTGTCCCAATTGAATTGCTACTTACCACACTGCGTGCATTTCATTGCCATCTAATCCCAACTTTTATAAATTTCCCCCTCTACACCAAATAAAGAGAGGTGCCAGCAGGAACTCCAGCTTTTCAGCAGTGTGACCTTTCCTGCCAAGGGGAGATGCTGGCTGTCACTGACAGACTTAATAAAATAACTTTGCACCAACTTTGGAAAAATGCTCCAGCTCTGGTGATCCTTCACGAGAAGAGAGTTTAATAAAAGTGAGGCGACTCAAGTATAACTCCCTATGAACCTGGATACAATAGCTAAAGCATAGGGGTAGGTTCTCTAAAACCTATTGGCTTCCATGAGATTTAGGTAGCCTAGATGTCTGCAGAACTGCAGCATAGAGCATTTAATGGATTAAAAAATGGAACCTTGAAGAGTACCCAGAAGGCAATGTTCAACCGATAGGGTAACTTCATTAGAAAGCAAGCCATTGCATTCTGTGTAAGCTGCAGCTTCGAAACAAATTGTTCTTAAAGAAATCCTCTCTTTTTAAAAACGTAATAAATACATATAGTAAGTAGGCTTTTGGATAAG